AATTGACTCTCGAACTCTATCTTCGTTGCTCTCGGCCACTCCCTCGGCCTGCCGCGGCCACCAATCAACTCACTGCTAGAAAAGAAGAGAACTACTCCACGACTATTTCTGTCTTTTTTAACGAAGCTTCAGCTCCTCTTACATGAATGTTCCGTCTATTATATAAGTCTATGGGTCTTTCAGAGAGAAAATTGCAAAATAATGACGTAACAGTTGCTTCTGAATGGACGGAGAAAAGAGCTGTCCAGTAACGTCACGAGCTGCCCACTGAACTATAGGCTGCGGTCCGTTTCATGCTTAATCACGCATTTATCTATAGTATATGTCACGTATACTGTAGATAAAAATGTGCGCTTAGGCATAAAACGATCACAGCTATAAAGTTTCTTAAAGAGGCAGTCGCTTCTGATTAGACGAAGTCAGCGACGTCATTAGTTTGCGATTTTCTCCTTGAGAGGCTCTCTAGTATAGTCGCTCCATAGAGCTTATACTCATGGAGAGACCCTGCCTATATGCTAACCATAGAGAGGGCCGCGCCGGGAGGATCGACAAAGAGAGATATATTTCGATATATTTTGTCTCAACTGTGGCTCCCCCACTCCGTGTTCTCTGTTATTCTCTTCTATAAGAAGTGGCCACAATTGAAACAGAAAAATATATCTCTCTTTGTCGATCCTCTTTGCGCTCGCAGGGCCTCTTCATGAGTATAAGCTCTATGAGTCGCTCTCAGTCTTCTCTCTACGGTCCGAATTTATAGTTGCTTCTTAAATCTTAGATCTCGTCTCCAATCTCAAATTTCAGCTATCAGGGCGATGTCCCATTGAGCGGAAATCTATAGCGGAACGGAATGTGCGGAACCAGCTCGACCAATCGTAATCAAAGAAAAAGCGAAGGAAAGAAAACGGAATAGCTATGATTGGTCGAGCTGGTTCCGCACATTCTGTTCCGCTATAGATTTCCGCTCAATGGGACGTCGCCCTCAGGTCTCGAATCTCCAACTTCAAATTTCAATGCAGTGGCCAATCATGAAATTCGATGTTTTATGACTATGGCTGGATTTTCCATAGAGCTTATACTCATCAGTGGTCTAGTTTCCACCGAAACATTAATTCACACCTAATGCGGCGTAGAATCAAATTTAAATCGATGGAAACGCATAAAATTGCGCTCATTTCACTTCTACTTCGATTTATAAGTACTCTACTTCCAATGGAAACGGAACATTAAATTTGATCTGTACCGGAGTGAAACCGAATTGAGGGTTTCGATGGAAACTAGACCAGTGTTTACAGTTTTGGCTTCCTTACAGCATGCTGAAGCGGTGGAAGGGATGCGCACAACAGCAGCGATTCTACCTGCATAAACTCACTGCTGTTGTGCGCATTCTTCCACCGCTTCAGCATGCTGTAAGGAAGCTAAAACTGTGAACACTGTATATATAATGAGTATAAGCTCTATAGGATTGACAGCTCTCATTAGCTTTGCTCAACAGATGAAACAGCGCTTGAGCGCTGGTGCTAAAGCGCCAGTGTCTGCATGAGGATCTAGGCTAAGACTGCGTTCGGGGAGCACGCTATCAGCGCTATTGCGTCATTCTATCTTTGTTTTACATGTAATGAGCAATAAAGATAGAATGGGTGCGTTCAGACAACTCAACAGTTGTACAACGGTTGAGAGATAATTACTTCTGATTGGATACTTTTGGAACCGCTGCAGATTTTGAAGAATAGTCCTATCATGAGTGATGATCTCTCAACCGTTGAGTTGTCTGAACGCACCCAATGATGCAACAGCGCTGATAGCGCGCTCCTCGAACGCAGTCTAAGCGAGTAGAGATTACAGACTTCTGGCTTTTGCTCCTCTCGTGCAGAAGCGTGCGCCATATAAGCAAAGAAGAGATTATAGACTTCCAGATGGTGCGCCAGCACATTATTCAAATATTGTAAGAAATTATTTGAATAACCGATACAATGGTAGGTAGATTGGGAGATTGGGCGCAGTCGCGTGGCCTTCTCGTTCGCCAGATTTAACTTCTCCCGATTTTTTCCTGTGGAATGCTGAAAAATATTGTCTATAGCGAAAAACCAACAACCAAGAAGAATATGAAGGAACGTATTCAGACTGCTTGTGCCGCAATATCTCAAGAAATTCTTTTGAGAACAGTCACATCATTCAGAAAGCGTATCGACCTATGCATTCAAGAAAATAGACGGAATTTCGAACAGTTAATTCGCTAAGTGTACTACTTAGCAAATTAACTGTTTGAAGTTACAAATTAACTAAATAAAGCACCCCGATAGTGAGAGGCAAGAGGACTCACGTAAATAAAGCACCCCGATAGTGAGAGGCAAAGGGATTCACGTAAATAAAGCACCCCAAAGGGAACAAAAAACTACTACGTCCACGCCGTTGTTCCTGGGTAGTGCTAAGAGTAGTAATTTCTATTAATTTCGGCTAAAAATTTCGTCCGCCATCTTGGATCCGCCATTTTGAATTTTGCAAATCTGACTTCAGATTCGTGATCAGCAACCCCAAAAACCCTCGTAAACTTAATTTGGTCCAAATTGGTTGACTAAAATTTTTGTCCGCCATCTTCGTTCGCCATCTTGAAAATTTTAAAACAGCCAAGATTATATCTGAACGTAAAATTTTCCGTTTTTTCATTTTCCGGTGTCAAAAAGGGGGGTTTCCATTTAAAAAAAACCACTTCCGGTTGAAGTAACCCACTTTCGGTCAAAATCAAAAGTTGAAAGGTACGCCATTTTGGTTCCTTTTTGAAACCCTACAACTTTTATATGAAACTTTTTTCGATTCCTGGCCACACAAACGAGTTATTGGAGGTGATAGATTCAGATGACTCACCCTGTATAATACTCCTATATTGCTAGTCGCGTATCTTCGCAATGAGAGGCACGAGGCCCGAGAAAGAGAGACGCACCAAGTCCAAATATGGGCATAGATAGCCGAGCGTCATTATGCGCAGGCGCATCTACTAAGCGAGTGCGAGCGAGACAAAGCATTGGAAAGAACACGAGAAAGAGAAATGCCCAAACGTGCTTGAATGTTCATCGCATGCGCACAAAGCAGCTGAAGAGAGAGGCTACTATATTGTCTGCACCGTAACATGTGGCTTCAGGTCGGTACCGTACTAGCAATATAAGAGTATTATATATATGGTTGACTGTAATCTAGTTTCCACCGAAGCATTAATTCACACCTAATGCGACGTAGAATCAAATTTAAGTCGATGGAAACCTGTCAAATTGCGCTGATTTCACTTCCGCTTCGATCTATAAGTACTTTACTTCCAATGGAAACGGAACACTAAATTTAATCCGTACCGGAGTGAAACCGAATTGAAGGTTTCGGTGGAAACTAAACCTGTGTCTCCTAAAAAGAAAGCAGCCATAGTACTGGTGGTTACTGGTGCCCTTATGGCTCAGTGGAAGCAGCCATAGTACACTTTATGACCACAAACTACCAAATTACAAGATAAACCATTCACATTCAAATTTGAAGTTGGAGATTCGAGACTTGAGAGCTGAAATTTGAGATTGGAGACGAGATCTAAGATTTGAGAAGCGACTATGAATTCGGGCCTACATGAATCGATAGATTTTCAGTACTGCCCGTAAAAAATGAACGCAGCCCTATTGAGTGCTTCCAAAAATACAACCGCTCACTCAGCAGCAAAGTAGCAATCGACTGTGATTAGTTCTTATTTTAATCTAAACCAATCACATTGATTGCTACTTAGGCTGCGTTCCGAGTTACGCATATGCGCGCATTTATCTATATTATACATGACGTGTACTATAGATAAATGCGTCACTCGGAACGCAGCCTTACAGCCAATTTTTTCCCTTCTAGATAAGTTTTCGATAACTTTATCTAGAATATATCTCTCAAAATTGGTTCTTCTTATTGGTTCTCAGAGGAATTTATCCAGAAGATAGCTATCGAGAGGTATGAAGAAATCGGCCGTTGGTCGCTCACTGAGCGGTTGTACTTCTGAACGCACCCATTGTAATGATGTCTCCGTGATTCATTCGGAGTTCGGAGTTCGTTATTTTCGGCTGACTTCTTCTTTGGTCTTTAAGTGACATTTGAGCGTGTATTCGAGTGTTTTATTAAGTGTTAGAATATCAATTAAATACATAAAAAAATTTTAGATTAGAAGAGATATCTTGTTCTATATTCTATTCTCTCTCAATATGCTTCGATTTTTAGTAAGTAAAGATACACTATATACATATACATGTGTGTGTGCGCACGCGCGCGCATATGCATGTACGTGTGTATATATATATATACATACACATATAAATATATTAATTTTGAAGCTTACATACCTGATACTGACACTTACAGATTAGTTTAAGTATTGGAGTATATGCTGGAATATACATAGCACAAAATTATGAGGTAAAAAATTCTATAAAATATTACCGATGTCATTTATTAATTTTGTTGAAGTTAATTAATTTTTCTTATAGGTGCCACGAGTGGATGAACCAGCAAAATTATACCAACGGGTACTTCAGTTTTTAGAAGAAAATAAAAAAAAATAAAACATGATTGTTCTAAGAGATGACTATACTTTGTCTAAAAAAAAAAAAAACCCATTTTGGATAAAACACAAAAATATGTATATTACTATGAACTCAATAGATTTAATTATATCTTGGAAATATTATGCATATATGTGTATATATATATGTATTTTTTGTATAAAGATCACCATTTTTCCATATTTTTATTTTAATAAACACTATTTAAATGTGACAATTTATAAATAATTTATAGTATAGTTTATATGCACAATACAACTTATTAGATTTACAATATCAACAAATGATTTTTTAACATCAAATGTACATAAAACCTCCACCAGAATATTCCACTCGTGTCTGAGGCTCAACAAAAGCCAACCAATCAGATGCATATGTTGGTAACAAACCCATTGACTGACATTTAAACAAAGCTAGCGCAATATTCACTAACTGACCTAAGAAATACACAAATTTTTGTCCAAAAGCATGTGTTCCTTCTATCACTTTGAATGCTGAAAAAAGAAAACAAAAATATATGTTGTAATTTCAAAAATAAAACTTAACTAACTTTTGAATACTCACTTTGCTGAAGCGTGAATAATGCTTTGACTGGCCTAACGATGAGCATACTGACCATTATTATTGGAAAGATAGATATAGAACTACCAGCCATGTACATGATAAATAAGTTCATGGGAACTTGTTTAAGAGGTCCTAATGCCAGATCCCATGACTTTTTTATTATCAGATGATTAGAATCTGATTCTCTCATATATTCTACACTGTGAAGAAAGGAACCTGTAGGTGTGTAGCCTGGTGGAGAAGGAATCTCCACATTTTTATCTTGTTTTGTTCTATAAAATGGAAAAAATAAAATATTTTTATAATATTTATAACTTAATTTATCTATAATAATAACCTGGGAATTAAGACTTTTGAATAGAGATGCAACAAATAGTATATTTAGCACCTAACCAAATATTGAATATTTGGCAGTGATGTGTTATGTGCTAAATAATTGAATATTCGGCGAATATTAGGCATAGGATTAAAAATAACGCGGGTGCGCGACATTCTGAACTGCCTCTTCTCATCACCGTGCATGTGACAAGTTCGTTAGCTTAGTGTAGCTTAGATCGCGTGACAAAAGATGTTTGCTTTTTACTAAAATTAGTATTTCAATTACTTTTGTGAAGAGTATACACATGCAATTATGGCTTCTACAATTAAGAAGAAATCGTCTATATGGATGTATTCTATCGAGTGTGAAAATTTTAATGTTTTTGAACAACTGCAGTTTGTGAATTATACACAGTTGTCTCTCCAATGAAAATTTAATATATACATGTATGAATGTGTAACATATATATATATATATATATATAATAACAAATTTTAAGATATTTTTAAATAACTGTAAGACAAAAGTACCAGAAAGTTGTAATTCCATAAGTTCTTATAAACCTTACAATTTAGCCTAGCACAAAACTCATGAAGCAATATTTCCCAAGTTTACAGAATTAGGTACACTAATTTTGAACTATTTTATGGAAAAAAGTATAAGTAATGCAAAACTGAAGACTATAACTAAACAGAATAGACACATGTTAAGTTGCGTATACATCTATGAACTAGCACCGAATGAACAGCGAGCACAAACGTTCGGACATTCGCATTTGTTCTGAAGTCATTCGTTACAGTAGCGAATGGTAGAGAACAGCACGTATGTGCATCCAATCGCTCACGAATTTTCTTTGATGTACTGCCTACTGTCTACTCATGAAGGAACCGATCCGAATGCGAATCAAATGTTCTGTTTGCACTTTTTTGGCGTATACATCTGGCGAATGATAATAACGAACGTTTGTGTTTGCTGTACGTTCGGCATTTCGTTCGCTATGTGTATACTCAGCTTTATACACAAACTGTATTTGGCATTGCAAATCTGAAACATTATAGGTTATATACCAAAACACAAAACTAATAAACCGCATTAATCAAACAAAAATTTCTGAGATAAGAGAGTATTCCGATGCTTCTAATTAATCTCAATATTGAATGCAGTAATTGTAATAGATGAATAGTATATAAACTCTCTTACTTTATAGTATCTTCGCAAAAGTTTTAGACTACTTACTTATGAGCAAAGTCCAGTGCCCATTTCGATCGTTTCAAATTCTGTTTGGAATTCGCTGTCATTTTATCAATATAATTTGCACTTGTAAATTCGTATTTATATTAACAACAATAGATTCTACATATAATACAAATTATACTTATTCTATCCTGTTATATTAACTTGTTGGGCATGGAAGAGAGATACGCCAGTTTGTGATCACTGGTCTAGTTTCCACCGAAACCCTCAATTCGGTTTCACTCCGGTACTGATCAAATTTAGTGCTCTGTTTCCATTGGAAGTAGAGTACTTATAGATCGAAGCGGAAGTGAAATCAGCACAATTTGACAGGTTTCCATCGACTTGAATTTGATTCTACGTCGCATTTGGTGTGAATTAATGCTTCGGTGGAAACTAGACCACTGAACTATAATATGGAACCTATGGAACGCGCCTTGCCATTGTGCGAGCTGTCCGCGATAAGAGCCGTCTACAATGGAGAGTTGTAGGCCGTAATAGTAAGAAATTGACCAATCACAGATAAAGTACAGAAGAATAATCGATTGTGATTTGCCAATTTCTTACTGTTACGGCCTACAACTCTCCATTGTAGACGGCTCTATAGAGAGCATCACAACTAGGATCTCTGTCTTTGTCTCGTCGTCGCTGATTGGTTGAAATTTATACAAGTACAGTCCACGACAAAAGAACAACGAAAAGGAAAGAATGACTGCGTTCAGTAGAAATCAGCGCTTAGCAACGAATACAGCAATTGCTAAGCGCTGATTTCTGCTGAACGCAGTCATTGGCCACGTTCAGCAGACTGAGCAGATCAGTGATCGCTTGGTGATTCTTTAATATGATTGAATCTTGCCTTTAGATCTTCAATGGATCTAAGTGTAGAAACCAATCATATTGAAGAATCACTAAGCGCTCACTGATCTGCTCAGTCTGCTGAACATGGTCATTCTTTACTTTTCGTTGTTCTTTTGTCTTGGACTGTACTTGTATAAATTTCAACCAATCAGTGACGACGAGACAAAGACAAAAATCCAAGTTTTGATGCTCTCTATAGCCCGTTCTACATTGATCGCAAGCGCAAACGCAAGGAACAGGTCTGGTAGAATTGACTAATCGTATTGATCAAATCAGCCAATTGACCAGCGTGATTGGTCAATTCTACAAGATCTATACCTTGAGTTTGCGCTTGCGATCAATGTAGAACAGGCTTATCGCGGACAGCTCGCACAATAGCAAGGCGCGTTCCATATTATAGTTCAGTGTTTGTGATTTAGATAGCGTCCCCTTTGATTGATACTGAAGGGCCTTCTACAATGAGATATTAGTAATAAATCAAAAGTCAGAAGCAAGCAATTGACCAATCACAGTCAAATCACAGAAGAATAATCTATTGTGATTAGGTTAATTTTTTGCTTCTGACTTCTGATTTATTACTAATATCTTATTACACAGGCGATACTGTGCAACACAGTGTCCACTAGTGTGAGTGAGACACACTAGGTCTGTTTTTCTTGCATACACTTTATACACTTTAGCCACAGATGTCTATACTAAACTAGATTGCTACCTAAAGCTTCGGACTTGTGTCGCATGCAATTTCCGGTTGTATCCGAGAAAATGGCGGCAGTTCTATGTATGTGACGTAATGACGTGTGTGAGATGTGAGATTACTGTGATACAAAAACAATGCCAG